AGGCGGAACCCGCAGCAGGACTACGAGCTGGTCCAGCGGGTCGGCAGCGGCACCTACGGGGACGTCTATAAGGTGAGGCCGGCCGGCCCGAGCCCGGCTCTTTCTCCCTGCGGGCGCGGGCCCCCGGGAAGAGGGTTTTGGGGTGCAGGAGGAGGACCGGAGAGGATGCTTTTATTGTTGCGTCTTGGAGATGAAAGCGGCTGGGGTCCCGTTTCCTCGGCTCGGAGCACCCAGTGTGCATGGCTTGCTCAAATCGCTACCGAGAAGCAGAACTAACCGCACACCTCGGCAAACCGCCGTTGTACTTTTTTGTGGTGTGAAGGCGTGCTGACGCTTGTTTGTGGTATCGAGGAGGGTTCAGATCTGCTCCGGAGTCGCACTTGAGGATGTTTGGGCTTCAGCCTGGAAAAACGCTTCACGGGCGACAGGAAAGAATATTGACATTCCAACATTTGCACTTTTAAAAAAAAACACACCTTTTAAAACGGATGGGCTTCATTTAAAAAGTCGTCTGAAAAGCCGTCTCTCGGTTATAACTGTACACAATCTAACACGGGGTCAGAATGACGTGAGCACAAACATCCTTTGTAGAAAGATGCTTTTCCTGGCAGAAGTTTCACCCTTTGTATCTAGTTGATGATTGTTTGTCGTTTTGGTTTTTTTTCTACTTTCTGGGATTCATAACATCCCATGACCAAGAGTGGGTAAGAGCTGCTGTGTTTTTAATTGTGCTCTTTTGCATCACTTGAGACCAGTGAGGGTGAGTTGCTCTTCGTTTGGGGTTTAAGAAAACATCGAGAAGCAACCCCAGAGTTCTTCCAGGATCAAGAGGAAGGAGATTGTTTTAGATCGCCTCGTGCGTTGCTGCGTTCTCTGTCCCAGAAAGGGAGCCTTAATGCAACTCATGTGGGTATAGGGAGGGAGATTTCCTTTGATTTTGCAACAGCTCTGCTCATTGGATTTAATCACGACATGTAATCCCATTGTTCCAAACAACACTCTTGCTGAAACGGCCGTGTATGTCATATGGGAAGTAACCCGTAGGCTCCTCGGGGGTATGTGGTGGTTTTGCACAGGTGGCGGTATGGAAGGAAACATTCTTTCTTCCTATTTTTTCTGCTTTTGTTTAATATGCTCCCTATTAATACTAACAATTTAAAGTGGTGCTATGACAGCTCTAGTGCTGTTTTATTCTCCTGGGATGGACTGTAAAGTGTAGGCTTTCTATTCCTTAAACAGGCACTTGAATTTTCTGTGCGAGGCACTGTTCTAGATTTGTATGGGGTGTTGAATTGTGAGGTAGGTCCCAGCTCTTGCCTTGTATACCTTTGAATTCAAAGTGGGTAATTATAACAGGATCCTCCTTTGCTTTATGTAGAATTAATAGGTAATTAACTCAGCTGTTTACCCGTGGATTAGTCATTTTGTGGAATGCTCCTTAAAAAATTGAAATTCCTGTTTGCCTTCTCAGTCTTCCCTCTTAGTCATCTTTGTCTTATGATTCACTATGTATATAAGTGCTTTTCCCCACAAAAATCCGAAGACCTCTACTTTTTTTCTTTATAACAACTAAAGCAGCTCTCTGGAGTAGGATTTTATTCTAGACAAGGAAAGCAAAGGGTTATATTAAAGGGGCAGCAAATACTTGCCTTTCCTCATAGTACTCTGTGTCTCTCTTCCACGGTTTCTAAACTGAGGATCAAAGAATGAATATTTATCGTATACCACCTTCACCACCACCCCTCCCCCACGACCCCCTTCCCTCACATTCATGCGCCCTCACCTTTGCATGTATACTCATACACTGGACCAGCTTCTGACTCCTAAACATCTTCAACTCTGGTTCCTTGTCTTTTGTTTTTCCTTGTTCTCATTACCCGGCATCACCTACCACCCTCATTTCAACCTGTCTCTATCCTACCTGTCCATGGAAGCCTTATTGAAATGCTCCTCCAGGAGCTTCACCACCCCACCCCCTTCTCTCCACCCACATCTACAGCTCACCCCTTTCCTTCATTCAGTTCTAGCCACACTGGCCTGCTGGCTGTTCCTGTAACATACATAATAAGCATATCATGGGCCTTTGGGCCTTGGTTCTTTCAGAATGTCTTGCTCAGAATGTCTTTCCTCAGCCCACATGGCTTGCTTCCCCACTTGCTTTTACACCCTCTCCATCTGTTTTTGCCTACTTTATTTTTTCATGTGCACTTATACCAATTTAGTTTTACTTTTATTCTTCTTCTTTATTATCTATCTCAACCCACTACCCTACTCCAGGAGGGCAGGAGTTTTATCTGTTTTGTTCACTGCTCTATGTCTAATAGCTCCTAGGAGTACAACTAGGAACAGAGTAAGTGCTTTCTAAAAATCTGCTGAGTGAATGAGTAAATGTCAGTAATGCTATCACCTAGTTCTGTGGGCATATGCTTTTGACATAAGAACACTAAGTTAGCATTTAGTACTCTGTATTCCTGCAATGCCTATTGTAATGTCTTGCATATGTACTTTTATTACAAATTTCAATTACTTGAGTTCTCTAGGACAAATATGTATTTCTGGAAAACTATTTCATAGTCTATCTATCTATTTTCAGCGCTTTAAGTCCTACAGAATTTTGCCAGTTTATATTTAATCTTTAATATGTCTAAAAATGTGTACCATTCTGCTGTAGTGCTGAAGTTTTTAAAGCTCAGAGCAGTTAGAGTAATTTTGCTATTCATCACTGTGTTTCTGATGAGCTGAAAACCATAGGAAGTTTTACAAGTATTTCCAATCAGTGATATAAACTAGGAACATTATTACAGTGAAGAATAATGAAGGCAGATTAGTCACTGTTCTAATCAGGTATTATCTCTCTCTCTCTCTCTCTCTTTCTCTCTCTTTACACCTGAGATACCTTATAAAGCAGCTCTAAAAGAACTACAACTTTCAGATTCTTGATGAATTATTTTTATGTTCTTCAAAACTGTAGATCCCCTCTGAAACACCTCTTTCCCGAAAATCTCCAAGATGGGAGAGCTCAATCTTAAATTGGCTATTCCCTGGTTAAAGAAAGAGGAATATAAAGCTTCATTTAAAATAAAGCTTCAGTGGTTCTCAACCTTCCTAATGCCGCGACCCTTTAATACAGTTCCTCATGTTGTGGTGACCCCAACCATAAAATTATTTTCGTTGCTGCTTCATAACTGTAATTTTGCTACTGTTATGAATTGTAATGTAAATATCTGATATGCAGGATGTATTTTCAGTTACAAATTGAACATAACTAAAGCATAGTGATTAATCACAAAAACAATACGTAATTATATATGTGTTTTCCGATGGTCTTAGGCGACCCCTGTGAAAGGGTCGTTCGACCCCGAAAGTGGTCGCGACCCACAGGTTGAGAACCGGTGATGTAGAGCCTGGATTAGACAAAGTTGCTGGAAGTATAAGGACCAGTCACTGAGTAATCGAGATGAAAATTTATGCAAGTATACATTTAGGCACTGGTATTAGAGACAAAAGGAAAGGATGGGTTTGAGTCATGTTTAGAAGGTGATCAAAATTCTCTGGTAATTGATAGTAGAAAAACAGGTCATTAAAGGCATTTAGAATTTCTGGCTTGAGTGACGACATTAGTGCCATCAACAGAATTAGGAAATACCAGATTTGTGTGGTCTGGATCTTGTTTTTAGTTTTGGATGTAGGGCATTGCATGGATGGACATGTCTAATAAATAGTAGGAAATGCAGCTCTGGTTTTCAGACATCTGGACTGGGGATACAGGTTTGGAAGTTATCGGATGGGTTGTACCTGTGAAGTATAGGTGAAGTCACTCTAGAGAATTTGTAATAGAGTTGTGGAAAGGCTATAGTAAAGTGGCAGAAGAAAATAATGTATATTGAAAGTATCTGAGAAGAAAGAAAGAGGTATAAGGAAATTATTTTCATAGATATCAAGAGTTTCAAGAGCCCATCTATATCATCTGCATCCATTTTTTGTTGCCTTCCATTCTAATGGCAGTAGGAAAATATTGATTTCTCAAAAAATATAAATCTGAGGTTTTGTGTCATTCCCTCTTTTCCATAGAATAAAGTCTTAGACTAATATGCCTTTAAGGTTAAGGCCCTGCTTATACCAAAAGCCTCGCCATTCTAGAGTAAACTTCTTCAGCTTCTTATGTGCACTGTACTCTCTGTTCTTCCTTCTAGAGAGCTAGAAACATCGACGAGAGAGAAACATTGATCAGCTGCCTCCTGTACATGCCCTTGACCGGAATCGAACCTGGGACCTTTCAGTCCGCAGGCCGATGCTCTATCCACTGAGCCAAACCGGTTTTGGCAACATTGTACTTTTAGAAAGGCTTTTCTGTCTCTTCCAGGTCATATCTATCTGTGTGTGATTTTTTGCCATAATACTCATCATTTGTCACTCATAAGTATTGCCGACAGTCTTCCTGCTC